TTAGTATTCTGTATCATGCCTGTTGGTCTCTGTCTCCTGTTATGCCCGCTGTGTGAGACCCCCGATTCTTTACACGCCATTAAACTCATGATATTCTCCTTCCACGAGCAAAAGCGATGTCCGGCTGCTGCTCGGTATATGTATTGGTTGCGATGTGATCAAGAGGTACAAGGACGTGGTGGGTGGGACGAGGGATTAACGGCGGGTCTGTGAAGCTGTAGAGCGGCGCGATAGTTTGTCTCTATAGTACGTAAGCTTTCGCGTTAGCTTTAATTGTGCACTGTACTGCATCTTTAAGTTGCACGATGGCTGTATCGGAAGCTGCTTGCAATTTCGATGCTAGGTGTGTTCATTGACACGAGCTATGCGCAAGGGCCTTCAAACCCAACCTTGCCCCCAATCCGAACCGGTTTTCGGGTGTCCTGGCGCGCTTGGCAAACACGTCGCACAGCCACACAGCCACAAGGCCACAGATCTAGTGTCGGCGGCGATAGATTGCAGCTAAGCTGCTTTAAGCTAGGTGTGTGGGTCCTCCTTATCTAGCACTTCTAGCAGGCGGTCTTGCATTTAGCAATGACGCACAACAATCCCTCCAGCTTAAGCGCAGTGCTCGGGATAAGATAGTGATATCACAAGCTGCAAGTTGACGAACTTTCGACAAGATGCATAAGCTTTCGACGTATCCACGGCCAGCCAAAGCGAGGCGGTCGCGTGACGCTTATACCAATTCGTTGTATTGCACGGTAAGCCGAACCTATTTCTGATAGACTTTGGGAGAGAATAAGATTTGTAGTCTGAAGCTAGTATTCCGAGAATATCTGTTCTTCTAACCTATCGTTGCGTTTGTTGTGTTGGGGAGTGTCTGTGGCGTCCCGCCACGCAGGGTGTCCCGTTACGCAAGGATGGACGTTACCCGATTTATCAAAGTACCACACAGGCGCCCCGAAACCAGAAAGCATTCGACTGGTTGTAGTGATGTAGGGCTGCGACGCAAGTACTACTCTGCGGACGTATGCAGTAAGTAATCAAGTGCGTAGAGAACATTTCCATCTCCGTAAGGGGAATTTCTCGTTAACAGGGCACGGGCATTAAATATCTGTGCAAGTTGAAATTTGAGAGGTTCGTGGGCGCATACGGACGACGAACAGAACGGGTATCATATCTAAGACTTAGACCCAAACTCCAGACCGAGTCACCCATCGTGACCGATAATCTACCATTATAGCCTTTAATAAAGTATAGAGCGTACTGCTCGCAAATGGAATTAAGGAGATGGGTATAGTGACCAAACTCGAGCGCCCAAAAGTGCAATGTAGCATAATCATGCCCTCAAACGGGGATCGGCGGGGATTCAGAGCTCAAGCGGTCGTCGTCGAAAAACGAAGCTGCGTCCTGCGTCGACAGGCCGAAGTCCTCAAATGATGCTGGCAGTACCGGGCGCGACGTTGGACCGCATTGCCTCTTTGTGGGCTGAGAAGGGCCTAAAGAAGGTGTTGTTGTGGATTTACGTTTCGCATATGGCCCAGTCATTGACTTTGGTAGTTGCGAAGCTCTGAGCTTCGCAAGTTCAGCTTTGAGTCCTGTAGCAAAGGGGCCTGGATGAAGACACTTCCCGGCTATCTTCCTGGTCGACATCAACGGCTTACTGGTATTAGCAGTCGAGAGTTGACGTGTCGGTGTCTTCGCGTGGGCAGTAGCATTTGCAGCTTTCTGGTATCTGATCAGGAGTTTGGCTGGTGGAGGCGCTGGTACTGTCTTGCCATGATGCTGTGTAGCTTGAACAGGTATTGATTGCACTAGTGATTGCACAGATACTACCGACTTCGTCGCAGTCAGCGCAGAGTGAGGAGCTACCGGGCTTGCAGGTGGAGGCGCAGGCATTGCGTTGACCAGTTCGTACGGCGATGGACCAGCGGCTAGTTTGGATATCTTGGATCCAGGCTTGGGTTCAAGCTCAGGTTTATCGTCCGGATCTTCCAGCGAGAAGTCAAGGTCTTGAGTGGACATCGGTGGAAGGAAATCAGTTATTGAAGCTGGTGCGGTAAAGAGGGGCCATGACTGTACATTGGCTTTTAGAGCTGGTTCAGAAGCAAGCTCTCGGGCGATCTGAGTACCACTCTCGAGAAAGTCATCCCATCCATCCGTCATCGACTGCGATATAAGTGTCGTAGATATGTTGGTGGGTATAAGCTTGGATGGGAGAAACGAGCTCGATTTCGACGCCGGAAGACCAGGTAGCGTGAAGCCTGTTCTCTGGTCTGCTTGTAACTTTGCCTTTGCGACAGGTGGTGTGGTTTTCCTGGGAAAGCTTGCAGGTGGCATACAACCACGTATTGAGGGCAGCTTGAATCCAGTTTGCGATGTGTCTCGTAGCAGGCTAGACGGCGTGTAGTCGGCTGCGACGCGTATTGGGAACTGTGTGCGCTGGAAGAGATGCTCATCGAAGTTTCTGTACTTTGCGTGAAAAGCCACTCGGGTCAAGAAGATCTTTGTTACCTCCAGCTGTCCATCTAGGACCAAACATTCCAAGCGATCCTTCTCGCATCTCAGGACGCGCAAGTGCTGGCTCTTCGGTGACTGACTGCTTGTGTTTGAGCCACCAAGCAGAGAGACAACGCAGTCGACCTTAACACACAGTCGGTGTGGAGGCAGACCGATCGGGTTCAGTTTGTGGAGCAATGCATGCGGAGGGTCCCAATCTGGTGTCCTCAAAGACATATCCTGCGACAGCAGTTCAAGAAGAGGCTCAGGCAGCTTATCCAAAACGGCCTCGATCGCCTTATTGATCGGCCCATGCGTGCGTATGAAGTCCGGCGTATCTTTTTGAAAAAGCGGTTTAGGTGGGGCCAGCGCAACAGGTGGAGTGAGTGTAGTAGAAGGAGCTGGAGCAGGCATGGGTAGTGGATGCACAACGGCTTGCGGCCCTTCGACTGAACCCGACAATAGCAGGTCATGTGCTTCGAGGAGGGAGTCGTCGTCCAGGCCGTCATCAGCCCATTGCTCCCCAGACGATTTGTTCAGCTCCGGCAGATCGATTGCCATGTCGGTGGCATCGTTCTTCAGCTGCTCCTGTGGATGGCTGTATCCAATAAGCTGTGTTGCAAGTCCAACTCCAATCTGCTTCCTCGCCCTTGCCTCTTTGGCCTCTCCCTCCTCGCGCTTCTTCTTGGCGGCTTGGCTGCGTTCTTCGGCTTCGCGTGCGCAGGCGGCGCGCTGGTCTAATTCGAAGTCGAGCTCGAGCTGTTTCCGTTGTCGCTCGTTGAGAGGTGGCCTACTCTGCTTGTATTGCTTTTTGAGCTCGGTGGAGGTTTGCGCAATTCGCTTTGGTATTGGGGCTATGGTGGGAGGCGCATTACGGTGAGGGTAGGGGTTACGGGAAGGTGGTGGAGGCGCAGGGAAGAGTTGAGGCGGCGGATGATTTGCAGAAGTACGCTAAGACACGTGAGCACGTGCTCCGATGACGCAACGCTGTCCTTGTCTTTTTTTCACTCTCCAGCACTGCCCCAGCAGACGGCAGCTTTTCTCTTCTTTCGAACGTCAATGTACCTCCGAACTCAGCTGTATTGGCTGCGCAAGATCTTATCGTGGAGTCCGATGGCTCCTATCTCATAACCGTCAACTCGGCCAATTCTACTACCCCGAACCACATCCAGAGCGACGATGCCAATATCCGAGGATGAGATAGTTCGAAAGGCTAGAGCGAATTTCGAAGATTCGCTACCAGGCTACGGGCCGTTTCTGTTCGGCAACCAAACGTTGCCGCAACCACAAAATGGCATCATTACCCCGGTACAGCAATGCTTCGGAAGACTTGCTAAGCAGACAAACTCCTTTTCCTACTTCAACATAAGCGAAACGGATGCCATCGTCATCAAGTTCGATGCGGGAGCCTCGGTCTAATGGGTCGATGCATGATCCAACTCAGTCGACCCCGGACTGCCCGACCTGTTTCTTTTGGTTCTCCCACGGCTTCTGTGAATGGGGAGATCGTTGCAAATTCCGCCACCAATTGCAGGACTATGTCGCGAGCTGCCCAAAAAGTGGCGGCAAGCCTATAAAGGTCATTCCCATGAGTACTATGGAGGGGACAAGGAAAGCCACGCTTGCCAGTGATCCAAGCCACGTGAGCATACGCGACAGGCGAAACGATCCGAAGTCAAATTTTGACGCTGCACTCACGGATACCCCTATCTTAGATTTGTTGCTCGACGACTGTATTCCTATCGAGCCTGGATCAGCTTCTAGAGTTATCTCATCAATTATCTCAAATATAAGGGCGAGGAAGGACCGCTCTCAAGGTGTAAGTGCACTTGCAATTTTGGCAGCTTACACCTTCTAATATACTCAGGACTTCGTCACGGAGTTGTACGATTACAAAGGCAAGCCTTCTAACTTTGATCTTTATCGCCACTCTGGACTGCCAAGCAAGCTGGGAGGTGCGATGACCAAAGTCTCTCACAATCCTGATCATACTCGCAGAAGGCTCGATGAGATACTAAGACCGTTTGTGGAAGCGAACAAAAACAAGTTTCCGGACTTGCCAGAGAGGACATTCAAGAAACAGCGTGAAGAAGGCGGAAGACCGCAGGCAAATTGCCCGTAGAAGAACTCTAGCGAGAAGTTTTGACGCCCTGCGATAAAATAAGTTTCGCAGTGGCGGATCTAAACGGTTGGTTTGGCCGGAGAAGTGTTTTTATTGTTGCGATAAATGTAGATATTGGATCTCGTGGTTCGTCTAATTATTAGCAGCGATGTGCAATATTGATTTCTAGCCAGTTCCAGGCCTTCGGTACACTTCGAGGTTGAACCGTGTCTGGACAAGGAGGGATAAGCCCTGTCGCCTGGAAGCCTGCCTGGATGTTCTGCTGTGTGAGTACGGTCGGCCGGATCTGTGTATAGATCGTGAGGAGGTCTACCTTGCCAACCTGGTTGCGCACTACAACTAGTGAATGCGCCATCATCTCTGCGCCTTTGGTGAGCCGATCAAGAGCATCAACCATTGAGGTTGGCGAGCTGTCACCGTGTCGCTGGATCCTCTCTCGAATCAGCTTTGATTGCGACCCAAATTCCAGGGTATTGCTTGGGGTTTGCGACTGCCAGGGACCGTCCTCGACGGTGGGTAACGGTGGAGTACGCAGCGGACGTCGAGCGTCGATATGACAGCCTCGGGATCGAATGGAACTAAGCCAGCGCCTCGAAAGCCTCCTAGGATATTGCTCTTTGTAATTGACGCGTCAAAAGCGGCTTTAAAGCACGGCAAGAACTCTGTTATCGTGACGTGGGTGATCTTGTTGCGCATCAGCTTCTCGGCTTAGCACCTATACGCCTTCTTTAGCGGCGCAAAACAGCCAACGTCAAGCGGCTGCAGTAGGTGCGAGGAGTGTGGAGGCATGCAGAGGGTGATAATCTTCTTCTCCTCGCAGAGCTGGTGGAAATCGATCGAGCTGTGGCTCTCGTGACCGTCGAGAACTAGCAGGCGGTGGCTGCCAACAACCCTCCCCTTTGTATGCCTGTCAAAGTGCTCTAGCCACTCGATACCAAGCTTGTTTGTCGTCCAGCCGTTCTCAGAGACTGCAATTACCTAGTCTCGAGGCAGGCTCTCCTCCTTGTACCAGGCGGAGAGGTGGTGCTTGCCTTGGAAGATAATGAAGGGTGGAATCGCCTACCCCGTCGCGTTCATGCCCTGGATAGCTGTGACCCACTCCCGGTTGCCCTGCTGCACTGTCTTTGGCCGTCCTCGACAGTCTGCTGCTGTGACTACCGAGCCAGTCGATATCACGCCCATCATAAAGCCAGTCTCATCAAAGTTGTACGTGTCTTCGTCCTAGATGCCGTACTTAGCCTTCGTATTCTGTACTAGGCGGAACCAGCCTTGTATAACCGCAGGATCCTCGCAGAGGGCTCTACTATAGTCGTACTTTCGATTAAACTTGACTTTAAGCTCAGGGCGACGCTTTACGAAGTTTGCAGCCCACCTCTTACCAACCGGCTTCTGATTGCGGATCTCAAGCAAAGAATTAGCCATCTCTTCAACGTCAGCGAGCCTAGGCGGATATCCTTGCTCTACTAGCTTGAGAACATGCCTAACAATCGCTACCTCTTCAGATCCTCGAAGAGCCATTAAGTTAGGCGCGCGATCGCGTCGTTGAGGCGTCCCAGCGAGTCGCCTTCGTAGTGTGCTTTCAGAGACGTTGTAGGTAGCTGCAGCGCGTCGCGGCTTAAATGTCGCGTCTTGTTGGATAGCCTGTAAGGCAAGCTGTATATTTCTTTCGTTTGAGGTCTTTTTAACATTGTTGCGTTGAGACATCACAGGTAGGCTTCAAGTTTGGTTTGGTCTTGGCAAAAAGGTTCCACTCGCTTGAAGGTTCCACTCGCTTGTGACCTACGTTAGCGCTAGAATATAGTATATGTAGAGTAGACCTATCTTTTAAAGACGAGCCTCTCGAAGGTAGCTACATTAAAGAATTATAAGCTATTACAGCCCAGATTCTATTCTATAGAATACTAGAGGGCCTATCAACTACTAAGTTGCGTAAATTTAACAAGAAAGCCCTTTAGGTTACTGTCAAGCAATAGAGTCTTTATAAATACGAGATGCACCGCGACAGTGGAAGTAGAGGTATATTGCCTTGTAAGACTAGAGACGAACCGCTGTCGTGCCACAACAGCGGTAAGGTAGGCTAATATACTGCGATTGCTTGGCATACCGGCCCAAACGGGCCCGGAGTAACCTGGTGCCTGACAGTTACTATTTGTAACCGCAATTTGTTTACGATTCTAAGTAGAGGACGACCTTTACAACAAGTAGTTAATAACCTAGTATAAAAACTAGAGATTATCTACGCCCTCTATAATAAATCTAGCTACTAAGATAAAGAGAGTACTTAGAGAAAAGTATAAGCCTACTACTATTAGAATGGATAATAAAAATAAGTTAAGAAATATGTCTAATCCTGCCCTAAATACTAATCACACGATTCTATAATAGTACAAGAAGAACTTTAGCTAATAGAACTATTAAACTTATTATTTAGATAGATGAGTGTAGATATAGTGTACATGCTACCTCGTTGTAATACTAAAAAGTTCTTAATAGTAGTACGTGACTATATCTCTTAGTACGTTAGAGCAAAAGCGCTAGTTAAAAACAACTTAAAAAGTGTTTAGAAGTTCCTTCTTTGTAATGTTTTCTATAAATAGGGAATTCCTATTAAAATATTAGTAGATAGAGGCCTAGAAAATGAAAGGCCAATAGATATAATAGAGAATTAACCGAGTTACGTCTTGTGTATATTATATATAAGGGTAAGGACTTATAGAGAGAGTACACGCATTAATCATTATAGCTTTAAAGAAGCTTCTAGGTAATCAAGTTAGGAACTCAACTAATGTCCTCTAGGTAGACTAAACTATAATTAAAAGATTGATAAATAAGACTCCTACGCACATAGTCTCTAGTTAATAATATATACTTCCTATTGAACTATTAATCCTAACTTAGTAGACGCTGCTATAGGCAAAGTTTTAAAACACACTTACGCTGCTAGTAATAAGAATAAGGCAATTTGATTAAAGAGAGAAGCGCTTCGATGAATTAGTTACTCTATGTACGCTATAAGAAAAAAGAGTATTTTATAACTTATAGTCCTTTAGTTAACTGAATTGTTAGAAGAAGATTTAGCCCTATTACGTAATTTATTCTATAATAATACTAGGGTAACTCTTCCAAACTTCTTTCTTAAGTAGAATGGTCCTTTTTAAATTAGTGTTGTTAATAAGAAGGGGTAGTACTAACTGGAAAAACTAGACAACACTATATTTTAAAGTTATACTCCTAGCAATAGACTTAACTCTACCTATAAGAAGTCTATCCCTAGAATAGTAGAAATTAGATATTAATAAATCTTTGGACAGTAGTAAGGAGGATGCAACGGATACGCTAGAATATAAGTAGGATATTCCTTAAATAGAAAAGCAAAATATAAAAGAAACGCAACGAATTTTAAGCATTTGATAGCTTAAAGATACTACTCTAATAGACCTAGATAGAGAGTAGGGCATTTCGAGAACAGAAGTAAAACTTAAACGACTAGTAGCTGTAGTACTAAGCAGAAGGCTAGGTTTCAACCTAAATAACTATTAGTTGTACTTATCAAAATACGAAGAATAGAAGGGGGTAATAGTAGAAGAGTAAAATTCTAAAATAGATTTTAAGTGTGACAGGCTAGAGCCCTTTGCTCTCTTATCCTCGTCTACAACCTCGGTTTTCTCCTTCTTCGGCCCGATAGGCGCTCGGACGTTATCGGCCAATAGTTCTTCCAGCTCTACACCTAGGTATATATAGATAGCTACGTAGCCTACAGCTTAGCTCTCTATCGAATACAACTCCAGTATACCTGTGCGATAGCTCCCCGAGCGTAGCCCCTTACACCTTTGTACGCTTTATAGGAAAAGTAAGAGGAGTAGAAGGGGTAGACCTTTTACGTTTAATTAGTAACTTAGACGTAGCAGCTTTTAGAGCTTTAATTATATCTAGTATGACCTTTTTCTTGGCCTTACGTTCCTTCTTAGCAATGCTATCCTTTAAGTCCCTAATATATGTAGCCTAGTACATCTCTAAGGGATTATAGTTATATTTATCCCTATTATTAGTAGTAGTAAGTCTACCTTAAATAACGCTCCTACTATTATTTAATTAAAGGGCGTTTAGAGGGGCTAAATCTACAAGTAGATGTGTAAGTTAGCATACTTAGTAAGGAAGAGCGAATAGAGAAGGGGGATAGGAGGGTTTAGTAAACGCTAACGACAGTAATAATACGCTAAAATAAAGCGATAATCCTCGAAAGAAATACTAGTAAAAACCTTAACTTCTTAGAATTAGAAGTCTGAAGGAAGGTTAGGAACTTACAGGTTATTATGTAAGTTAGCTTAGCACCTTTGCTAAACCAATTTGTATAAGTACTATTCAGATACACCTTGCTATTAAATAATAGTAGTGCGACATTACTTCAAAGGCCTCTTACTACCTATTGTATAGTAACTCTATATAATCCTAGAGCTATTAAACTTATATTCCTCTATATTCTTTATAATATAAAGGACAACGCTATTAAGATAATAATAGATAAGCGCAATGTAGAGTAGTTTAAAGATTATTCCGTCGTAATTCCTATTAAGCGTAAAGAACTTACTAATAGTTATGTCCTTGGTGCTTAAGTTAAGCTAAGTAACTATCAGGTAAGGAGTAGCGGCACAGTAACTATAGGGAGGGAAAATAGTAAAAGTAGTCACTAGACTAGAAAGCACGTTAGATTTAAAAAGGTCCTAAATGTGCTAGTGTAGCTTCTTAATCTAAGAAATATTAAGAATGTTGTTTATAAAGCTAAGAACTATAAGAACTATAAATCGAGGATGTTAGAAGAATGTTTAGAAATATAGAACTTAAAAAGTTAAGACTTACTAAGCTTTGCT